AATAATCTTTTGTGACTTTGTGAAGAATCATTTTTGGTGGTTGAAATTTGTTGGGTTGTTGTCTTATGGACATTACCATATATCTTCATTTATTCATACTTAATACCTACTGCATGTGAGGGGTTAGGAATTTGTCTAATAACAGGTTATTTTAAATTTCCTTTTACTGGGAAGTACAGGAGATCTAACTCCAGCAAAGAGATTTAAAAGTTTTTATCTTGTAATTCAATATGTGCAACAATTTGCATGGATACAAGACAAAGGTAACTATAATTTTAGTTTATAATATGCTACCTTTCAATGCGAAGCAAGGATGACTTGTTAACTTTTCCATATATGCAAATGTATTTCTGTCAGCTGGACTAATATAGCCAAAAGGTTAACTTAACCAATTTTTGTCAGGAACACTGCACGTCTATCAGTATGATTTATTACTGTTATTTTAGTATTCAGATAAAACTTAATATTAAGGGACCCTTGCAAGGGATCATTAAACAAAATTTCTTATTTATATAAATATTTCTTTGCACTGTATTCACATATTTCAAGATAAAAGCATAAAAAAAAAATCACACATCCAAATATTAATATTCACAACTGCACTTAACTATGACTTTACATTAATTCAGAAATACTGGTAACCCCAATGAACTTAGTAAACGAATTAACAAAAAGGTCAAGGCCAATAGGTATAGCTATACATCAATATCCAAAACACATTTACATGGTACTTATTAATATCAGTTACCTTGTGTTAAAATATCTGCATGGGTTCTAAATATTAAAAATAAATTTGTCTAACTTTTATCAAGCAAAAATTCTTCAGATAACATAATCTTCATGGAAATGATATGGATAAATACAATATTTGGATATAAAGAAAAGTTTGGACCAAAAAGGCTTGAGAATGACGTCAAAGATATAGTTTCACCAAGAACTTTGAACAATACAAATGGTTTAAAGTATTTCTAAAATGTTCGACTTTTATAAATTGTCCAGACCATGTTTAGATCTCTAATCCGATATTTGATAAGAACCAATTGTGCTAAGTCACTGGTCAGAAGTTCCTAAAAGTAACTTGAGTACTGGACAAAAGCCATGTCCAGAAAATAATGAGTCCTTATTTAGCTACAAAGAAGTCCATTTGAAATTTATGTGACAGGTTTGATAAAGTGTCCACGATACTTAATCTTACATCAAGTACTTTTGACAAAAAGTACTCTTAAAATTAAATTATTTAAATGTCACCGAATATTTTTAAAATGTTTAACATAAATAAGCTTTCAATATATTTAAACTGGATCACTTACAATGAAATCTATTTCGAGAAAAAGATTCACATCTTAAGATCATTATTTCTGTTAGCTGAAAAGAAACATGTCTCTTGTTTTTTAATTGGATTGCAGTCTCATTAACATCACCACCCCTCCCCCCCCCTTCTCTTCATCTTATATCAATATGTAAAAGATCAGGAAAGTCTATAACTTGGAAAGAGTGACACTAGAAATGGTCAGAATTCTAAAAATGGTCGGAGGGTCAGATAAATGTCTGCTATCGTATACCAGAGCAATTACCATATCTGCTAGCGCAAAAAAATCTGTTCAAAATATATTAACTTAATACTGTCAAGTATGATGAACTCTTTCGAAGTGACATGTTTCAAAAGGAACATCCTTATACCTCCCATCAGGTAACGGGAAGTCCTATATCAACTTGTACTAATTTGTTTACTAATATTCAAACTTTTAACCTTAGGGCAGGTTTAACCAGTACTTTGATAGTGGACTGTTCAATAACAAAAACAAATTACGCCTGTTTTAATATCATAGGACTTGACCGAATTCTATAAAAATTTGGCTACTGACGTGCAAGAATGAACAATAAAAATGAGGAAATTTTTACATTTGAAATCAGTGAATGAAACTTGTGCATCTAAAAATTCAGCTTCTGATATATGCAAGAATGAATCAACAATGAGAAAATTTTTATTAATGAAATCGGTGAATAGAACTTGAGTAGCTATTTATATCAGGAACAATAAACAACAGTACATCTAACACTGCTATATTTAGTTCTATATTATTGACGACACACTTCATAAAGTAAATTTAATGACTTTAATTTTTCCCTTCAATACCTTTTCTATAATAGAACATGAACCAGGACATTGTGATCTCAATAATCTGTACAGATTTATTACTAATGGACAAAATATTGATTTATCCTTCACACAATATATTTGAAGTAAAATATAATAGTTGTTTTTACTGTTAGTATAGCAAGACAGTTTTTGATTCTATGAAAGGCCTTCATAATCTGAACTAATCAAACTTAAAAATAAAACAAGATGATCAGCATAGCCCTCCCTACCAAACCTGTTGAATATTTTTGCAATTTAATGTTTTGCGAAATAAGCTAAAAGGAACCTGTTGAAAGCGAGATACTGACAATAAGAAAAGAACTGACACTTTGGACATAAATAAATGCAAGTGATACTTGATATAAATAAGATGTGGTATGAGTGCCAATGAGACAACTCTCCATCCAAGTCACATTGAATTCACCTTATTATTACACTAAAATCTAACCATCAAAATTAAATTTTTAGCTTTGATTTAAAATGTCCATATAAAAAATACATTTCTTCAAAAGTGTATGAATAAAACTGTACATGACCTTGATCACAAAACAGAATTATTTGTATTGAAATAGTTTTTAATTTTCTCCTTCATTTCCTGCAGATGTTACATGTACATCTTAAGTAAGTTCACAAGTTCAGTGAAAGAATTTGTGATCAATTAACCTTGACTTTAAAGGAAATACTATTTCTGTTTAGGTATGATTTCCTGCTTTTAACAACCATTTCCTTTATTTACAGGTGAAGTCATACCAGCATATTTAAAGAAAACACCATCTGTAATTATGAAGCCAGGATATTATTTGTCTTTGTTTCAGATTTTTTACAATTCTAATCCATATTTCTATACAATCAAAAATTATATTTGTTAGGTACTTTTGTAATTTTGTCTGTTAAAAGTTCAAATTTTTTGTGCTATTATATAAATTAGGAAGGATTTTCAGAATATTTTACTAAAATTTAAAAGTTCATTAGAACAACCTCAGGAGTGGCATATTTTTCCACTGATTCAAATTAAAGAGGATATTTTACAAAAGACCCTCCCCTCCATGGTACATTATTCCTGCCAGGTTCAGTTTAAACTTGCCAAATGAAGTTTACCATAAAGTTCCATGACCAATTACAGTAATGAACTATTTTTTGCAGAAACGTATTAGGCCAGATCTTGATCCATATATTCCAAAACAAAAATTAACAGACCACACATTATTGATCTAGCATATAAAGTTTACTGAGGAACAAACTGAGACCTCCCAAATACCCATTCCTCATAAAAAAAAAAAAAAAAAATAGAGAATTTGTCCATTGGACACAGGTGATGACCCCACTTGCATATAACGTTATAAAGGGGCATAACTCTAGAAAGGTAAAAGTAATCTCACCTTATTTCAAACTTGATCTGTTTTTCATGGTAATAATCATTGTGTATACATTTCATAACAGTTGGTGGAGGCAAACTAAAGTAAGAGAACGCAAACCACTTTTGGGACGTATGTACGAATGGACGGACGGACAATGGTAACACTTAATGCCCCCTCCTGTGACGGGGGGTCATAAAAAATAATAAAAGTGTGTGTTCAGGGTTTCTTCCTAAAAATTAATCATGTTTTTTATGGACTTTGGCTTCAGTATTATATGATATGGCTTTACTGGAATTTCCGCCATTCTCAATTTGTCCTAGAACAAAGTGACAACATTTATAATAACAGTTTAAGATCAATTCTGTCATATTTTGATGCAATATATTATTGGTATCAACAACTGAAAAGTTCCTAAAAGTTTTTGAAAGAAATCCCATAAAAATGTTAGGGTCACTGCTCAATTTAAGGTAATGCAAGAAACCATAAACACATTATTTGTTTGTTTACTTTAAAAAAAAATTATCCAGACAACTGGAGTGCGAAAATAAGGTATAACCTGAGAAAAAGACCTATCCCAAACTTAACTTGACCATTAGAGCATATAAAGTAGATCAAGGTCACATAAACAAGGATGTTTAGGTAACTTAACCTTATTTTGAAGAAAATCACAATCTAATTGACCATCCAGCAAATATCTGGTCAGCATGAGTATGAAATTTTCGATCATTGAGGTCATCCATGCATAAAAATAGGCAACAGTGATAAATGACACAAACAAAATTGCATTATCATAACTAAAGATTGATCAGAAAAAAAAATAGCTAAATAAATCTCTACCCATCCTAGATTAAACAAAATGACACTCTAATCAGTCAACGAGTAAATTATTTTATACCAACTTTCAAAATGATAACCCACATATAGAGATAGCTTAACCCTCACACTTCTTTGTTTACATACATGTCCAAATATGATAAAGTTATTATGAAATAAACGTTCAAGGTAACTCAAGTGCATTTTGTATGAATAAAGGAAGATGTGAGCTATAAAAAAAACAAACAAGATAGCCTTGGTCATGCCACCTACACAGAAATTTACAGGTCAATATATGATCTTCAACAATAGAAAACTTTCTATACAATATGCTAAGCTCAAAACCACCTGAGTTTAGGCATGAAGTCATCAAATTTATCAGTGACAAAATGTTCCTAAGATCTTAAATCAACACAAGTTAGCAAACCACAAACCCCCTTCCTACTTAATCGTTTGACAAGAATGACGTATTACTGTTAATTTATCTATTTTCATGGATATCAATTTTCGTGGATTGATGATATTTTGCAATTTCCTAGATATTTTGAGTTCATGGTTTTGCCAAAGTCTGCTTACAAGCATATTGATAATTTGTATTTGGTTAACATTTAAATTTGTGGTTTACCAATACCCATGTCAATTGGTATTCCACAAATAATAATAAATCCACAGAATCTTACAACACTTACATTTACTGTCTGGTATCTCAGATATTTTTATCCTATTGAGGGACAGACTGACTTCAAATCTGTATGTATGTTCAATTGCTCGGCTGAATGGGTAATGGCGATCGGTTCTTCGTGTGATGACCAAGGCATCATTGAACAGGAACAGACCCAACATCTCCTGGTGTTGGAAGGCTCTGAAAAAATAATTAAACATTGTTTTAATTGATAGATGACTTAAAGAACTTTGGGCTCTGAAAATTCTTCAGTTAAAAAACAGAAAATGTTTGGATTTCACTCACAAACAGTTAGAGGTGTTTACTATATTTATTTGCAACTGGTCATTTTCTTCTTTATTTGCAACTAGTCATTTTCTTTTTTAACTATATACATATAAACAAGACATATTAGGTGTTTGAAATAAAAAAAAAAATGCTCTGGTAAACATGAGTATATCTTTGGTAAGGTTACCTGAGGGTAGAATTTGTTTTATTGACTTCAAAACCTTAAATATTGTTTTCAAATTTTGTGGTTACAATTCACATTGAACCAACCAGCTGTAAGAAGATTAGTTGCCATCCACGAGTTTGAGAATTATAACTACTGACAACAAATGGGTATGAGCTTGGGTTTAATAACCACTGGTGACCAATCTGTATGAGTTTGAGAATTATAACCACTGGTGACCAATCTGTATGAGCTTGAGAATTATTATACCACTGGTGACCAACCTGTATGAGTTACAGAATTATAACCACTGGTGACCAATTTGTATGAGTTTGAAAATTATTACCACTGGTGACCAATCTGTATGAGTTTGAGAATTATAACCACTGGTGACCAATCTGTATGAGTTTGGGTTTATCACCACTGGTGACCAATCTGTATGAGTTTGGTTTTATAACCACTGGTGACTAATCGGTATGAGTTTGGGTTTTATCTCCACTAGGGATCAATCTGTATGAGTTTGGGTTTTATCACCACTGGTTACCAATTTGTATAAGTTTTGGTTTTATCACCACTGGTGACCAATTTGTATGAGTTTGGGTTTTATCACCACTGGTGACCAAGCTGGATGAGTTTGGGTTTTACAACCACTAGTGACCAATCTGTATGAGTTTGGGTTTTATCACCACTGGTGACCAATCTGTATGAGTTTGGGTGTTATCACCACTGGTGACCAATCTGTATGAGTTTGGGTGTTATCCCCACTGGTGACCAATCTGTATGAGTTTGGGTTTTATCCCCACTGGTGACCAATCTGTATGAGTTTGGGTGTTATCACCACTGGTGACCAATCTGTATGAGTTTGGGTGTTATCACCACTGGTGACAATCTGTATGAGTTTGGGTGTTATCACCACTGGTGACCAATCTGTATGAGTTTGGGTTTTATTCCCACTGGTGACCAATCTGTATGAGTTTGGGTTTTATCACCACTGGTTACCAATCTGTATAAGTTTTGGTTTTATCACCACTGGTGACCAATTTGTATGAGTTTGGGTTTTATCACCACTGGTGACCAAGCTGGATGAGTTTGGGTTTTATAACCACTGGTGACCAATCTGTATGAGTTTGGGTGTTATCACCACTGGTGACCAATCTGTATGAGTTTGGGTGTTATCACCACTGGTGACCAATCTGTATGAGTTTGGGTGTTATTCCCACTGGTGACCAATCTGTATGAGTTTGGGTTTTATCACCACTGGTTACCAATCTGTATAAGTTTTGGTTTTATCACCACTGGTGACCAATTTGTATGAGTTTGGGTTTTATCACCACTGGTGACCAAGCTGGATGAGTTTGGGTTTTATAACCACTGGTGACCAATCTGTATGAGTTTGGGTGTTATCACCACTGGTGACCAATCTGTATGAGTTTGGGTGTTATCACCACTGGTGACCAATCTGTATGAGTTTGGGTGTTATCACCACTGGTGACCAATCTGTATGAGTTTGGGTGTTATCCCCACTGGTGACCAATCTGTATGAGTTTGGGTTTTATCCCCACTGGTGACCAATCTGTATGAGTTTGGGTGTTATCACCACATGTGACCAATCTGTATGAGTTTGGGTGTTATCACCACTGGTGACAATCTGTATGAGTTTGGGTGTTATCACCACTGGTGACCAATCTGTATGAGTTTGGGTTTTATCCCCACTGGTGACCAATCTGTATGAGTTTGGGTTTTATCACCACTGGTGACCAATCTGTATGAGTTTGGTGTTATCACCACTGGTGACCAATCTGTATGAGTTTGGTGTTATCACCACTGGTGACCAATCTGTATGAGTTTGGGTGTTATCCCCACTGGTGACAATCTATGGTAGTTATTTCTAGAAGTAAAAGTTGTGAAGTATTCACCTATTGCAAAAACAGACAACTTATTGGCATCCAATTTTAGAATTTTTTAACATTTTCTGACAATATACTGACTGTGATAAAGCAAATTTTCTTAATTACAATAGACCAAACATAAGCCTTTTTTCAGTTAATGTTATATTCAAATAAAAGCTTGAATGAATTCATTGACCTAGCCTTGGTTATAAATTTGAAAATTCGACTGTTTTAAGTGGAGAAATAGTGGATGCAGTGGTAGAATCTATATATATATTTAGTTGCTATTTCTTAAATGAATGTTTCAGTCAGTAAACACTTTACCCCAATTTTACTAATGTCAATAATGACAACTTTCTACAGATAAACCAAGCATACATAATTCCTCCATCTATTCCACTTATTTCTAATTAGCTGATCATTTGCCCCTGGTATCAGTACATCATCTCATCTATATATACAATTATACCTTAGATTGATGATGAACTGTGGCTAATTGTACTTTTAAATCCAACACTGGTTCTAAGCAAGGATGTAATATTTCTGTTATAATTGGTAATATTACCACTCTATTCTAAGTATGGCCAACCTGTGTGCACTTCTTAAATTGAAAATTAATAATAAATTCAATCTCTTCCTTTTTCTAATTATACAACACAGAATGTTTCCAGTAAATTATGGAATGGACAACAAGTAGAACTTTGATTTATAAAGCTAGACTTGCCTTCAGTATCAAAGGGATTTGTTGACCATATGTGATTCAATTAACAAGTTAGAAAGAAGTATGACCAGAGCAATTACCTAGCCCCTATACTTTGAAAAAACAAGACAACAAAAGACATCATTCATTTCAAAATTATGCTATTCTTATTAATTAATTGAACATATAGTCTGGTCATCTAAGTGCAGAAACATTTGTGATGTCTTAGTGACAATTAAAAACTTTAAATTGCCATTTTATGAATAGATTTTAATGAAATAAAATATGAGATTTAAAAAACATTTTACATGTATCATCTCATAGAACATATCTTTTTTAGGGCATTAGCTGTTGCTAAATTCTAATTATTTATATCAATATATGCATTCAATACACAAGCTAATTTTTGCAGTTTTTCATTTCAGGAAAGAAGTGTGAACGTCTAAAGAGCAATAAGGTTGGACAAAATCTAATAAAACTCTAATAGGAAAACTGATATTTGATATCAGATGGATATCATACTAAAGGGTTTATACTTTTAGATTTTATAATTTAAAAAGTGGCCTTATTCTTCATTCTCCTTTACAATAAACAGCCATCATGGGTAATTGTCAAAACATCAGTTGTCTTTGATTCATCCTAAAAGAGTAACTTCACTTGACATAGTTGTACAAAAGTTGTATTTCTTTGGAGTAAGTGTTTCTATGGAAATTTGAGCAGCAGGTGAATCAGTCAACAGCTAAGGTCACTATCAGTTACCAATTTTTGTTAGACCAAATCATCATTTTTCCCCCCAACTATTTGAACTATATATATATGCCAGTATGCTGTTAATTTATGTAAATTCAGCACATTAGGGCAAACTTAAGTAGGTAATATGTACTTCCCATATTAAAATTATGCAATACATCTTATTACACATCTAATAACACACTGCCAAATGTTTTATAGAAAGTAAGTCTGAAAGAATAATTTACATCTGTTAAAATTCAAAAAAATTGATCAAGATAAATCATAGTCAGCTTTTCCGAGGCATCAAAGCAATAAAATACCTACTTACACATGTTTCTATCATTCAAATAGATCTTTAAAAACAATATTTCGCATAGCTTGGAGCTAAGCCATATCTATGAGAGCACATCATCACAATGATGGGAAAATTTTGTAAATTTCCATTTTCTGGGCGTTTCTAAAAACTGGAATGGAGTATAAGAAATATCATGATAGAAAAACATAGGCCATTTTTTAATGTGCCAGGAGCCTAAAATCGAGTTGTCGATTGCTGTCTGCCATTTTGTTTAAGAATAAATCCAGCCTTTTGTTCTTCATGTCTTTATTGAATTGTTTCAAATTTAGTCACCTAAGTTCCTTTTACTTAAAGCTTACTAAATGGTACGAGTTTTTACTTATTGCTGCAGGGCATAGAGGGGCCTATAATTGTTCACATCGTTGTGTTTTGGTCTTTGATGGATTTTTATTTTCAGTGGTATCTTACCACATCTCCTTATTTCTTATGTTATTATATAGTCTAAAAGCATTATCAATTTCTGCATAAAAAAAACATCAGTAAATTAAGCTACATAATTTTTTTGTCTTTCTTCGTGGACTATTTTGGTTGTTTTCCATTCTATTATCTTATCATTGCTGTGCTATCCATTCCACTCTCTGTTCAGGGTTTTAGTATCAACCTACAGATTATATAATATATCTCCTTATAACAGACAACATATCAAATTGTTTATAATTGCTTCCCAAGATTTCCCTTCTTGAGTGAATTAAGATGTTCTTCTGGTTAATTTGAGCTAATGCAATGAGCTCAAAGATCTGTAAGGGGATGATGAAGTTGTATTATTTGTCTGTCATACACTACAGGTACACCACAGGATGATTTTTAAAAGCAATAACCATTTGTCTGTCGAGCTCACTATTCACTTATGTTCATACTTTTTGCCAAGATTTTAGTAGTAAATTACACCTCATATAATGTTAACTATCTGTAAATTCATTCAAAGCAGTAATAAGTGCATCAAGGAAAGCACTCACTTGTTCCACAGTAATTTATCTGAGTCTAAATTAATTTTTGCCATCGAAAGATTTTACTGGGCTGATAACATTTACTTGTGTGTAATCATGAAGACTGATTTGCAGGCAGGCCTTGGAC